AACCTGTTAAACTTTTCATCTGTTTCTCTCTGAATTGGTTTCACTGCATGTGGGTCCGAGCTTTAGATAAAATCATCACACCACCTGTATAGCTCCAACCAGTTTACTTTCTCACTCCTCAGATCCATCTGTTCCAGTTCCTATTTGAACTGTGCCTTCCCAGCCATTAGTTCCAGAGCATTCCAGCCATGTGTGACAGTTCTCTAGCATACCTAGTGAGCAATGATTCGGAAAAGAGGACCCAGTATTCAAGGCGAGACAGATAGTGGAGTAAGTTAAATAACCTGGTTTGACAGTTCAGTCCGTGCCCAGAGAACGAGGATTATTCCAGCTGGTTGGCTGACAAGACGCAGCGGATGCTGCAAGAGAGTTCCAGATGCTGAAACCAAGAAGACTGCAGAACTGGCAGGAGGTCAGATCGAAGGGAGTCCGGAGACAGGTCAGGCAAACAGATCAGACAGGGGCATGCAAAACTAGAAACTAGTCAGGATCAGCTAATCAGAAACACAACTGGGTACACTAGAGAACTCTCACACAATGCTCGAGAATAATCTGCCCCTGATGGTTCGGACCAAGAAGTTTGAATAGGAGCAGTTGGATCATATGAGCAGTGATGAGAAACAGGGCAGAGCTAGACAGGTGAATAGAATGAGTAATTAAGACAGCCCTCAGCTTCAAGATGTGTGTTCTGATTACCATATCCTGACTAGTTTCTGCCCCTGGATGTATGAGTTTTGCTTGATCCCCAGTTCTGATCTGTTTTGCCCGACCTGTCTCGGAACTGCTATTTTGATACTGCCTGCTAACAAGCTGGGATCTGTCTCCCGACCCCGGCTTAAATTTCCCTCCAGTGCCCTTTCAGATTTCTGATCTCGTTGCCAGGAATTCTGCTCCTGCATTGACACTGTCTTTATATTTTCACTCCAGATACTTCTGATCTATTGCTTCTACTGGCTTCTGCTCATCAGTCAGCTCTGCTTCACTCCTGGAACTCTCTGTGCGGCTCCCACCGCATGCTGTGGAGAATTCATCTGGCTGGATTCCACTACTTCCTCTTGGCTCGGACTGAACTTAAAAGCAGATTTTACATTTTTCTGAGCAGTAAATAAAGACTTTGTTTGAAATCACTCTGATCTGTCTGCCTGAATTCTAGGTCCTACACTCCGTGCCCTGACATTTTGACTTCATGGTTTACAATGTAGATAAGTTAATTTTCAGGGCGAAGAAAGTATGGTCCCTACATCTTCTTGCTTACAAGTCAAAGTTATTACAGAATTTTGGTGAAACACAAAATAAAACAAAAAAAACACCCATGCCATTGTAGACAGCTGGTTTTTTTAATATATTAAGTATATTTTTGTGACATTTTGTGTTGTCTTTGCATGAATAGATTGATGCCGTGCTTGCTTTGTCTGTTATGGAAAAATCTCCATTTTTACCACCTCTACCTAAAGGACAATTACCAAGCACTTCTTTTAAAAAGTATTGTCCTGTCATATACTTTTTTATACATTTTGCAAGGTAATAAATCCAGCAAGAGAGCTTTCTAGTTTTTTTTTTTTTTTTTTTTTTTTTTGTAATTCTTCTGTTATTAATTATATTTGACATGCCATTTCAGGCCTCTGTAGTCTGATAAGCTCTTGGATGTCTTGCTCTGCTATGCAAGGAGTTTTTATTTTCTTTCTGATTTTAATGCTGTGGTAAAGCCTTATATGAGAAGTGGTAACCTTGAAAGCCAGAATCATAATCAGGTTTAGCCCTAATCAATGTGGGACGCTCCCATAATCTGTTTGGGGAAAGGAGGGCTGTCCTGTTCAGAGAGAATTTTCCAAGTGACATCTAGTGCCTGCTTACCAAAGGGTTTTTAGTGAATCACTATAATAGGAGCAGAAGCCATGAGAAACCACACCAACTTCAGATTATGAGATCTTTCTGCTCCTCTTTCGAAAATGGTTACAGGTAAAATTAATGTGATAGCAGCCGCTATGCGTATGTCCTTCTGTGCTGCCATGTTTATTTTGTTTCAGCTGTGAACTCAGCAGCTCTTGATTTTCCCACAGCTAAATGTCTCGCTTTAAACCATAATAATGCATTGCGATTGGGTGACCTGTTTTGGTTTGGACTTGAATGACTTAAACTGGAGCGGTATAAGGTGAATTCCGGTGTGTTTGTGAACCAAAATACTGCCACAATTTAGCTTGCAGACAGTGTTAGCAAAGAAGGCCTGGTTAATTTTATTCAAGCAAACTCACTCTGCTAATGCAATGTTGATAACAAACTGTTAAGACTAAAATATTTTGTAGCCCTACTAAATTAGCAGCTAAAATTATTTTCTAGACATTTTTTCTCCGACATGAAAATAGGTAGCCATTGCACAATAGAGGGAGTGTTGGCCTAGCGGTTAGAGCAGTGTGCTTGTGCTCTGAGAAGGATGACCTCACGGTAACT